AATACTCTCCTCAGTGAGTGAGAACTTCCCTTGATCCAGCCCTTGGGCTTCTCCTTCCCACCACATTTGCCTAAAAGTAGGAATATTTATCTCGGTTATTATTTATCGAAATCCTGCTCCAAGGCTTCCAGCTCAAATTAATTTTAACATACTGCTAAATGCAAAACTGCTAATTTTAACATACTGCTAAATACAATATTGTAAATAAATCTAACACAAGTATTAATTATTTTAAAATTCTATTTCTTCTTTCATTTTTTCATTTTTTCTACTTATCAGCTTTGCCAGCATTAATTGGACTTGCTCTACATATACCAAAATACATGGAAAGAAAATTTTAAACTTTTAAAAATATTCTTCTGAAGTAAAAGATTTAAAATTCATTCCCATAATTATCCACAATTCTAAAAATATGCAAGAAAGACAAAGGTAATATCATTTGACTGGTCAGACAAGTAACAGTTAAGTGACATATTCTGAACATATACTTAAAAATAAATAATAGCTTCACTATTTCAATAAAAACTTTGAAAAAAAATGACACTGTGTGTCATTTTACAATGTCACAGTTTACAAAGTGAAAAGTCAGCCCAACTTTTTTTTTTTTTTTTTTTTTGAAATAACATGTGGAGTTTGTATAGAGTTATATATATATTTTTACCATACTTGATTTCACAAAAGCAACAGGATAAATTTAAAAGTCAGATAAAATAAGCTATCTTAAAAAAAAAAAAAAAGAATTTTTGTGAGATTAGTAAGGTTAGAAATCAAATCTGACTAAAGTTACAGAATTTAACTTAATATTACTTTCTGACCTTGTAAAAAGCACTTATTGATGAAAGTCTTTCATCTATTAAAAGAACAAATTATACTCTGTAAATCACTTTCAGATACATTTGTAACAAACTCAGCTAAATCTCTAGAGGAATGCTGTAATACCTCATGAGTGTCATTGCACTGTAAATTTACAGAAATGTGCATCTGTGTTTAATTTTATATTAGTATGGAAAGCATGAATGATCCTCACATCAATCTTCCACAAAAATCCTCAATCAAAAATACTAAAAGAATTAGGTGTTTAATTAAGCATAGAATTTGAACACTCAGAGCAAATGTGTCTTTTCCTCAGGTAAGTTACTATTATTTCAAACAATTCCGTGACTTTTAAGTAGGAACCTTGAATTAAGAAAATTACACAAGGACCAAAGGTGTTCGCATTTTGCCTTCTACTCCTAGCTTATTTTTGATCTTTTAGAAAACAATATGTCATTTGAATCATCCATCTTGTTGGACAGTACACTGTCATAACCTTGATTTATGGAGATTATATGCAAATACAATCTAGTAGAAAAAAAATGCTTGCCTGAGGAGGAATTAGCAGACAAATAGATCTTATCAAAAAAGGAAAAAAAACACAGCTCCTTGGAAAGGTAAATTATTTTTATTGATAAAACACAATAATGCATTTATTTAATTGTAGATGTCCACAGGAGGTGATAAAAATTATTCAACTATAATACAATTGCAAAGATTAATTTTTTTCCTAGGAAAAGTCAGATCAGACATACAGTATTTTAGGGGACTATCTTCCCTCTCATAATTTTGATCATGGTCTGTAGCAGGCCATCTTTGTTAGACCTGTCTATGTATCTAAAAAGACTGAGGTTTCCCTTATTGCACATTAACATCTTGGATGCCATGTAGCAAACTTCTGTGAGGTTAATTTTGTGTAATTCAAAGGATAAGTCATAAGGAATTATGAATTAAAAATATCTGGTACTTCTGCCATCACCGCAGAAGCTCCCATCTGCTGTAACTCAGCTGCTTTCAACGGATTTTTTTTCACTCCTCAGATGAAAAGAGTAAAAATCCTGAGTGGTCTGTGCTACACATAACTCTTGTGGCAAATTGCAAAAATTAAAATAAAGCCATAAGTTTTATAATTTTGAAATAAAACAATTTTGTGACATACTGTGAGAGTCTAGTAACTTAGAGGGGAAAAAAAAAAAAAAAAAAAAAAAAAAAAAAAAAAAAAAAAAAAAAGCATCTGACACAGCAGTGGCCAGATTTATCTTTCATATTCATTTGGGTTAGTAAAGCCTTTGCTTTCACAGAATGTTCTCATGTCATCTTTTGCCATTGGCACTGGAGCACAAGTCTGCATCAGGTATGCACCAGCAGCACAAAGTACATTTCTCTCTCTCGGAAAGGAAGTCTTTCATTTTGTCTCAATAAAGAAACTTCTGCAATATCTATTGGTGAAACTGATGCTTGAATTTAGATCTTATCCATGATCATTTGAAGAGAAATGCTCAAGGGAATTGCTATAGGTACAAGGGCTACAAGAACCTTATTAACATTGGTGTAGTTCAATCTGCTAAAGAAAGGGAGATGCTTTCCTTTCTAGAGTTTGATACTGTTTTAATGCTATGATACTTGCAATCTTTCACAGATTTCATTTTATCTAAATTGTATACAAAGAAAGAAGAAATTTTCTTTCCACCTCTTTAGTTTTGGGAAATTAGAATAATTTTCCACTAAAAACTAAATGTTCTAAGTTAAAAATAAGATCCTTATCTCGTACATTCCCACAGCCCACTAGGGTCCGTTAATTTCATTATCCCACAAGATGCAGATCAGGATACCAAGGGAATATTAAACACCTGCTTAAAGTCTCATCGACACAGAAGAGCGTTCAAATTGCTACATACGTAAGAAAAAGTAAATATGCTATTCTCATTTGGAAACACAGTAATAGTACCGGGTTCCTAAAGAGTTCAGAATTGAAAAGTAAACTTATAATCAAATTATCTCAAGACTATTAAGAAAGATCTAAAAGGAATTCTACTGTAACTACTTGCCTACAAAATTAAGCAGCACTATTGTTCCACAATTACAAATTATATGTATTTTTCAATTAGAGTCTTATTTTATGGAACATTCAATGTTAGTTTCCAATTAGACCGCTAGTACTGAAGAAAGCATGTAAAAGAAAAATAGACATGGTCAGTCATCCAGAATGACACCAAGAACAAAGCAAATTCAACCAAGTAAAATAAAAGGTAACACAAACAAACAAACAAGAAAGCAATCTAATAACATCAGGAATAAAAATGGGGAAAAAAGTGGGAAAAAAAAAAAAAAAAAGAAAAAGCAAGCATATGGGACTTGTCTAATCATGCCATACAAGTGAAGCAGATAATTCTGAAGATTTAAAAGGCCTGTGACAAAAGGACAGTTAACTGTCCGTTAAATGCCAATCATCCTTAGCTAGAATGAATCTACAGAGTCAAGACTCCATCTTAATCCCAGAAGAAATCAGGGAATCAGTAACTCAAAAGTCACTATCTTAACAATAACACTGACAAAGGAAAAGAAACTCCTCATCACCACATTAATACCAATCTGTTAATGAGTTATGCCTTCACTATGCAAATGAAATAGGACAACATAATCAATAAATTATTCACTATCTTCTACAATGCTGCTGTGAAACTAAAGAGGGTAAAATTATAAAAGAAAGTCTTGCTGTGAAAAAAAAACCACGCATTTCATGAAGACATTTCAATGCCACGTTCAGCAGAAGTAATAGATATCACAGCACATTAATGAAAGTCGTATTTCTGAGTGATAAAATCTTTTAATAAATAAAGCCAGAATGAAGTTGATGGAGTAATGGTGCTGCAGAGTGTGCTGCTAATTGAACTACAGCCCGAGAGTGATCTTAAAGATCTGCCTGGACTGCTAGAAGATCTTTATGTTACTGAAAGAAACAGTACACATTGACTGGTTAAAATAAATTTCTACATTCCATACACCCATATTAATAAATTTATACATTAAACTGTCAAAAGCAAATAAAAAAATGGTCCATGTAAATTAACCCAATGTATATGGACACAATGAGGACAGTGTGACCCTCTTGCCTCAAAGGAAAACGGAGAAAAATTCTCCTTGAGATGCTCATATTAGCTCAGTGGATTATCCTACACATACTGATCTTCCACAGTGTTAACATTATAAACGTTATATCATTTTTTTTCTGTTTTATGCTTTGTATCTTTTTATTACACTAGTATATTAACACACAGGAACATGGAAACAGCAGCAATTAATTTTTAACACAGAGCAGTCAAGACAATATTTGCATAAAAAGATATTACAGCACTATGCCTCACAAGATTTAACATGATAGTTCTATTCAGCTTAAAGTGAGAACAAAATGTTCATAATATTTTTCAATAAGTTGTAACTATGTCTATAAAATACAATTACAGTACCTTTAAAAATACCTGTAGAAATCAATAGTAAATCATTTCTATTAAGTTTTTAGCTATTTTCTACAATTAAATATAAACAGAATAATAATAATTCAAGAATCTACAATATTATTGTGTAACATTTTAAAAACCTTTCAAATAGTTGTCTACAGAATGCACTTTCTTACCTATGAAATTCAATATAAAACTTCAAGAAGGAATTTGAAACACCATGACAAAAAAAGTAATGTATAAGTTACAATATTGAACTGATCCAGCTGATTAGAGGTTTTATGAAAGATTGCTTCAACCACTGACTCTCACTGCATGGACTGGCAACATGCATGAAGTTTGGTGTTATGCTAGTTGGTTATCAAGCAATTGAAGCTACAGAGGGCAACAGTCAAATATTTCTGCACCTCAATTCAGAAGTGCTTTGGCATTAACAGTTACTATGTGAATTGTTCATCAACAATTCACATCACTCAGATACATCACTCAGATATGTAAGTACATTTAGGTATCTGTATCCAGAGGGAAAGACAATGGTTATTGTATTAAGTGTATTTAAGGATGAATGCAGTGCTGCTTCATAGATGAGCAGTGCTAGATTCAGTCTCAGTACCAACCTGTGGAATTGAATGGAATACCAACCTGTGAGAATTAAATACACATACGTGTACATTCATATTGAGTATTTTTATAAAGGGCATCTTAAAAGAAGAAATAAAGACTACTTACACCAGAATAGAAAGGCTCACCGGACACACAGATCACATCCTGCTCCTGGATCATCAAAATATCTTTGGCTAAGTGCAGTCGCACTTTGAAAGGCTCCTGGTTACCATCCTGCAGCAAACAAATCCCTGTCTTTGTCTTCAAAGACAGGAACAGAGGAGAAAACAAAAAGTTGCTTAGCAAGTTCTATTGACAACAACAGCTTAGAGATCGGTACCATTAACAAAAATATGTTAGCATATATCCAAAACTATTACCAATGATTGCTATATTTGTTTGTTGTGCTCAGGTTATAAAATAATGATGGGAAGAGTAGCAAGTAGCAAAGGTAGATTTTGGTATAATATTTTGCTAATGATCATTTAAGGAAACTCCTGCTTAAAGGCAGCTACTCTATACTATCAAACACTACATTAAATAATTTCTTACTTAGACATGAAATAAAATCAGATATCCTGTATACTACAGCAAATTTTGAGAAAGGAAGACATATAATAATACTTTAAAAAGGGTCAGTTTTAAATGTATCCAGTAACAGCCTACTATAATGTGCTATGAGCCTCTGATCTGTGAGCAAAACACTGACTTCAGCTTTTATGTTATTTTTCAAATGAGGATGCTGCATTTCAGAATAAGAGAAATCAAAGAATGAAACTTCCTCTAGTAACTGACTTCATGCTTCTATATTTTATTTCTGGTTAGAAGTTGGGGAAGTCAGGAATTTTGCAGAATTCTTTAATACACAATAAATGACTTTCCATCAACATAACTGTGTCATTATGGCAATAACTTTTACACTACTCATTTTTTTATAATTATACATAAAAGCTTTGAGTAGTAGCTACCTGTAACATTTTATAACCATTCCCTGAATGATGTTTTGAAAATAACACTCCTTATATACTTTGTAAAGTCATATTGGTAGTCATTTTTGGTATGAGAAATTTACATGTCATCTAAAAATTCATTGTTACAATGCACATTTTACAAAAAAAAAAAAAAACTCTCTGAATATAAATATATATATATTTCATATTCCAAAACAAGTCATAGATAAAAATAATTTTAATTACTGGATTTATCAATAACAATAAAAACTTCCAGCATCATAATTCAGGTCAGATTTTAACCTAGTGTATATAATAGCTTTTTTGAGAATGGATCAAAGAAACAAAAGCTTTGCTGTGACTTTCCCTGCTGAAGATGGCATGGCTTAATCTGAAGGCTCCATCTCAAGTAAGAGTTTGAAAAAGCATTTGAAAGATCTCCCCGTAATATGCTCTGACACCTTTTATCCATAACATGAAGAGGAAAAAAAAAGACACCAACAACAAAAACAACATTAAAAAAAAAAAAAAAAGAGAGAAAAATATGCAATTGGCAGCAGACAACTGGAAGTTCAAAATTTAAATTGCTCTTGCTACACCGTAAGGAAAGTAGAAGGTCAAGGAGAAAACTCTAAATAGCTCTATACAATATTCTGCACTGACAACATCTGTTCTATTAATTCTGTCTCATGTTAAGCAATCAAACTTATGAGAGTATTTTTACTTGGATGCCAGAATCATATTAGCAGAATTTAGCCATGAAGCATTCCACATGACAAAAGTGAAATTCAGAAGTCAAAGTTTATAAGCTCAAAAGGTCTCATACATTCTTGTTCTATTATGTAAGTGTCTTTATAATAGGATGAGATAGAAACTGATTGCAAAGAATGAAACAATGAAATAAATGGATCATTACAAGGAGCTGTATTTCCAAAGCCACTAAAAAATTCCATGTGATAAAATAGTATATCTAAAATGTCTTTTTACAAAAATAGAGAGAATGCAAAATAGCTAAGTTCCCTTCTCCTTATAACTTCTGAATGCAGAACTAAGAGATTTAATTCCAAGAAGCTGTGAATTAAGCAACAACAGTGAAAGCTGAACATAGACAGTGACAGCTGAACATAGAGAACTATATATAAACAGAAGGAACTGCCTATAAACACCTACAGCTATAAAATACTGTTTTTTTTCTGCAGAAAAGTTTGCAGGCAAGCCTTTCCTCTTCTCCCTGGCCATAGGGGAGAATCTGCCTCCCTCTGATACATTGCTTTTAGTAGCTCCGTCTCACTTGACTGCACATTTCTGATTTGGTCGATTACCCTATAAAATCTTCAGAGAAGCTTTCTGCACAAAGCTGAGGGACTTCACTGTGGGAATTAAGATGCACATAACCATATCAGACACAATTAGGCATTACAATAAAACTAAAATTCAAGTTTATTTCTAAATGCATATGGGCAGAGTTTATTCACTCTGAACAACGAAACCAAGCATGAGAATAGCAAAACATTTCGAGCCTTTGCAAGACTGATCACACAGATTCAGAGATTTTATTTACATCATGCACTCTAGAATGTAATCAACCACATTAATGTTGTTGGGCTTTATGGAAGTTGGTTTATGATACAGTTAAAATTTAAATCTTCAATTAAGTTACCCCCTTTCCTCTCCCATCAAACAGCCAAAACAACATAGAAAGGAGAAGAACCTATAAGATGATGGTAAAAATGTAGTTTAGTTTTATCAAATGAGCTCAAGATAAGCCTTGCAAATAAATACTGCCATTTAACCTTTTTTTATTAGATTTCACTTTTTTCTACAGATTTTTTTTTTCTGAGGCTCCTATATACTGAACCAAATAAAGATATCAATTCCTGCACCTTTATCCAGAGCTAGAAGATCGCCTGATTTCCTAAAAATTACAGGGCATATCAACATCCATACTCCATGAAGAACAGACAACTATATAATATACATAGACAATTATATAATAGACAAACAGTCCTGACTGCTGATCAGACAGGCCTCCCTAGACTATACCCTGCTACCTCATACGTTTGAAAGGCTTAAGTGTGTGGGGGGGTGTTACATGGTTTGGGTGAGGATTTCTGGCTGATTATAGCTTTTGTTCCTATTTTTAATATTTTAAGAGATTCCACCAAGAGATTCCACTAAAATTTTTCCTTCAAGCCTTCCCTATTTCCTTGTGTCAGAGGGTCCTGCCCTGCCGCTGACATACAGCAATAAAACAGCATATGACACATCAGCTGAGCTATGGTAGCTGTCAGCGTGAGGTCATGCAAGACACCCTTTTTTGCTCAATTGTATGATAAACTGTATTGCCTTGCTACAGACAGGAATAGACAAGAGTAGTTCAGCTGATAATATTTTATTAAGTAAATACACCTTTGAGTCCAAATTTCCAGCAACATTGTCCTGCTTACACTTACACCTTCCTATATTCTTTATGCTGTTTATAGAATTAGGTACTTGTAAAGAGGACAAGAAAATAGACTGCTTAAAATTGCACATGCTTATTAAGTGGATGGCATGGGCTAGGGAACAACTAAGAAATGAACAGCTGCAAAAAAACTGAGCTTATACATGGCGAAGCAGTGGATGACTTCAAGCAAAAGCAGTGATGAATGACAGATGAATAAATAAATGACAGATGAGGTGAACTCTGCTCCCACGAAGTACTGTCTCCACAATCTGCTGCTGTGACCTTTACAGTCAGGTTAGATAGGAATGTCAATTTGGGAAAACTGATGTCCTTAACAGGAGTTCAGAATCTGCTGCTCTTCCTAAACTAGCATAACTAGGGCTGGGACTGAAAATATGTGATTTTTCCTTTGCTTTGTTTTGCCACATCAATCTATGTTGAATTTTCTGTCTTAGATCACTAGCGGAGAGCAGTCCTCAAGGCAGGTCACTTCTATGAAGTCATACACATTCCTTTTCTATGGTTTGGTCAGATCATTATTAGCAACAATGTAATGGAAAAAACAAAAACCTTTAAATATGTTTTTACTCTAGATCATGATATACACCCTGTGGCTTCATTGGCTTTGAATTAGATCTGGCCCTAATAGCTTTGAAAGGAACTTCTGAATAATTGTATAACATTAACAGTTTGATGTGATATTCACGGACTTCAAAATATTTAAGAATTAATTTCAGAGGAAATATACAGAAAAGCTACAGTTTACACCTATATGCTAGCAGCATCATTTCTATTAATTATATACAAAAATTGGTAGATTTCAAGAAGGAACTTCAAAATTATCTATTGTTATCTATTATCTATTGTTATTGGACAAGATATTTTAAGTAGTGTCTCAGTTTTCACAGGATCAATATATACTTTTAATGTTATTGTAGCTATCCTTTTTGGTCTATGGTAATAAAACAAGATCACTTTTCTTTGAGTTATGCATGAAAAAGATCCTATTCTCAGGAGTCTTTTTCCTATCTAGGTAGGATATTTCCCAGATATTCAGGCATAGATAAGTTCATGAAGGAAAGGAAGAATGAAAAAGAAAAAAAAAGTCTAAAAATCTTCAAACACATTCTCTTTTCAAGCTGACAGCATGGCACAGCATTTATAAAGGGAGAAATTATAAGCTTAAAATTAAATATATAGACCATAAATGGCATATTGGCTATCAGGAATAGCCGCAAAAAAAAATCTCTCCTATGATCTCTCCAATATAAAAATCCTGCAAAAATAAACTGCATTTGCCTCTTCTCATCAGTAAATGCATTCAAAAAAGATCAAAAACAAAACAAAACAAAACAAACAACAAAACTACCTAACAATGTGTTTTTCCAGGCTGGTAATCAGGAAAATGCTGAATTGTGGAATTTAGATCTTAAAATGACCTTCTGAGGTATTAATGCCTGACACATTACATCCTGGACAATCATCATGATATCCTTTCCATAAGCAAGTTTCATATCATCATCATTTTTTGACCCTACTGTTTCTTTCAGAATTCTGCCATGTTTCAATATCATTTAGAGTGTTTGTTTGTTTGTTATTTTCCCCCAACTTATACTAATTAGTTCTCAAGCCAAAAAGTCAAACTGCAAAATTGCTCTTGGTCCTGAGAAATGTTCCCATTTCTCCACTTTTACTTGCCTATCACAAATTAATGGAATTGTGGTCAAACTTCAGGTTGCAAATAATTTTTCATTATGTTTTAATCAAAATAACATACTGACAACATTATCTAATTTAGTGTGAATGGTTCTTATGATGCCAAAAATCTGAAATAAAGGTTTTGTTCGTTTGTTTGTTTCATTTTGGTGACGTTCACAATCTCCCCCACATGCACCTTTTTTCTCACACTTTCCCCTTGACTTTTCTGAACATTGATAGACAGATTTTGGCTCCATTATATACTTCCTCACGTTCAAGGTTTTCAGATAGGCACTTCACTAGAAACAAAACTCACAAAACACGCACACACACAAAAAAAATACAGATACTGCATTTAAACTGGAAACAAAGAGATATTTTGGAAAGGATGGAATGAGGACTAATAAGGAGTTCACCTTGGTAAATCCTTTCATGTGTCCACTACAAAAGTCTGTCAGCCACCATAAAAGAATCAACTGAGTAACTTGCATTTGATTAATTACAAATTCCTCTCATTTCAGAAAAAAAAAAAAAAAAGTAAAAAAGGATTTTGCATATAAAAAGGATTAAGAAAACATTGACTTTGATTCTCATATTGTTTGGAAAGAAAAATATCTGATCCTACCTCTTCACAGGTGGTCCTGAAATCCATGTGCTATGACACAGCAAGTGATATTTGTCTAAAACAGAGAAAAAGATTTCATTACAATAAAAAAGATATTGTAAAGTGTAACAGTTACCTATCTGAATGTAAGAGAAAGCAATTTCACTACTCTGCCAGATCCCATTATAGTCATTGGTTAAAAAGAGAAATGATCAAAGTTGCAAGTGGATTAGCAAGTGTAAGGTGCTTTAAGTTGAAACTTGGTTCTTATCAAGCGTGCAGCCTGGTTTCATCTACAGCACTCAGAGCAATGCTTAAACTCTCATCAACCTCCTTCCTTGCACAGCACACTCAAACTTATTGCAGATGTGAGTCAGTTTTTCATTTCTTTGGCAAAATGTCACACCAAATCCTGTGGTTATTACCTTCCCAGACCATTGTCTGGAGTATGTCATCCCAATGCACATGCATTCATTTATTTATGAGAAAATGTTATTGGAACAGGCTGCAATCAGAGGCTATTAACACTGCCCTGCTGCTGCTGCTTCTGCAACAGAAATCTTGCATATCAATGAATAACATTTCCAGGAAACTCTTTCTGGACAAAACAGACATTTTATTTAATGGCTTGAGAAAAAAAAAACTGTAATAGCAATCCTTTCCATCAAGCATTTTATTACTATTTTGAATGATTACTCAAAGCTCCAACACAGATTTTGTTTGTGACAGCCTAAGTTTAAAATACACCTAATAAATAAACCTTATTTAGTACAAAAAAAAGCAAGTATTAATCATTCAAAAATGTCATGTTGCTTAATTTGTTTTAATGCCCTGCACTGATTTTTTTTGAATCCAAGCACATGCACATATTTGGGGTTCTTGTTCTGCATTTACAAACTCTGATTGCTTTGCAGTCCCACAACCTTTGCTTTACACAAATATCAAGCAACGTGAACCTAGTTTGGCTAGGTGAAGGGACTTGAAAGTGACACATTATTTCCTTATCACCTTAAAGAATTTACTCTCTTTTGGGACAGTTATTGTTCAATGAAGTATGTTCCCTTGCTATTTTTATAACCCCTCTTTCAGATACCAAGCGAACTGACCTTAGAAGGAAGCTTTACTCACCTTAGCAAAGTTTTCTGAAAACTTTTTGCCTTGCTGGAACTTGCATATCTTATAAACACTGAAGTATTGCAGAGTTCTTACTGATACTTCCTCAGCTAACATTTGATCTATATCCTATTTATATCTGTGAACTCAGTATTTCTGTCTCTCTCTGCTTTCTTTTCCTGTTTAGTTCCACTTATTTATTTATTTCAGAAATATCTGCAGAAAAAAGACAAGAACTATTTGGTTCCTCAGTCAGCAATTAAGCTCTATGGCTGCTGTATAGCTGATTAATCAAAATAACTTTTTACAATAACCTTATAAGATCATAAAATGAGCTTGTAAAGAAAAAAAGCAAAACAACAAAAAAACAAAATTTATAATATTTTAAATAATTCATCATGCTTAAAATGCTGAGGGCAAACAAAGCCCTTGGTCTCAAGAGAGCCCTATGCCTCCTCTTGCCCAATGACCTTTGGTGAATGTACCTGCTGATCACCTTAGAGAGACTTGCTTTTTCCTACTATGTGCTAAATTACAGACAGGGAAAATAAAGAGAGAAAAAAATACAACAAATGCTCTCCTGACATTCATGTCCCATAGAAACAGCTCATGTTGTTCCCATTATACTCAGAAATTCCAGTGAGGAATGTGATTGAAGGCATTTTTTTCATCATTTGTGAAAAAAGCTTTTACTATCAAAACATTGTCTAAAATATAAACCTGGAGCTACAAAATTCTCTGCATAAAATCATACCTATTGCAGTAAGTGTACATATTTTTCAGGTATTCAACAACTATCAGCAAATAATCTTTGCAATATTGTCGACACTACTTCAGTATATATCATTTCTTACTGTTCCTCAGCTGCAACTGGACAAGCAGACAAGCAGAATTTAAGTCCACTATCACATTTCTTTTTCAGTCTGTCAGCAATTTTTAACATATGATGTTTAATTAACAGAACATAAAAAGTATATTTCCAATTTTTATTTGCAATATGCAATGTATTTACAATTTACAAATTTTACAGAAACTTCAAATTGACAGCATCCCAACCACAAATAAGCTCTCTAGATTATAAAATTATAAGAATATATATCACATATCACACATAATTTTTATCATATTTAAAAAGCCCTAATAATTAATAATTATGTTTTCCTGTAGTACATGAAAAAAAGTCAACAAGCACAAATGTAATTTTAAAAGATGATAAAACAAATATTGTTCTACATAATAAAGGGTGAAACTTCCTCCTGACAAATACCCTCTGACCAGCCTCTGGACACCCTTATTCACTTACTCTGCACTTCCCTTTCCTTACAACCACAGCGAGTTTTACATATGCATCTTTGCAGTCTCCTGGGAGCTCTCCTCCATGTCACCCCTCGTTTGCAACCCAGAGCGCCCTTCAACTCAATTATTGTTTGATTTTGCTTTGCCTTTCAGCATCGTCAGGACCCTTGAGGACAAGGTGTGCTCCAGGAGGTAATAAAGTATCTGCCTATGGCCTTGTGGCATGGAGGTAACTGCAATAGTGCCAGAGAACGGTAAGCAAACACTGATACTACTCAAACACATATAGCTTGTGGTATTCAAATAGAAAGAAGCAAAGCAGCAAGTGTCCTCTGCCAGAGTCAGGAGCCACTGCAATCAAAAACAGTAAAAAGGCAGGCCTTGAAAAGTTGCTTTCCTTCCTACTTCTTTTGCAATCTTCACTTGTTCAAAACCTGAGTTACCAAACTTACTTAGCTCACCTCTGCTGACACATGCAAAGGAAATAACACATGACAGGTTAGGAACAAATTTTGACACCCCTTTGACAGAATGGGAATTTATTCAATAGTGAGAAAACATTTACTGTGATATATTATTAAAGCATTTGTGTTCTGGAGGCAAATCAATGGCTGAAACATAATGGTGCAGTTGAAGGCTATCGTGGCCCTCAGAGAGCTTCATTAGGTTAACACAATGAGCACTTAAGCTATGCCCTGGTCTTCCTCTAATAAATAAGGTCATATTCTAGTGGTGTAATGTCCTGGAGAGCAGGGGAGGTGCCCGAGGACTGGAAGAGAGCCAACGTCACTCCAGTCTTCAAAAAGGGCAAGAGGGAGGAGCCGGGCAATTACAGGCCGGTCAGCCTCACCTCTGTCCCTGGAAAGGTGATGGAGCGGTTCATCCTAGAGAGAATCTCCGGGCATATGGAGGAGAAGAAGCTGCTGAGGAGCAGTCAGCATGGATTCACCAAGGGGAAGTCATGTCTGACGAACCTCATAGCCTTCTATGATGGGGTGACAGGCTGGCTGGACGAGGGGAGAGCCGTGCATGTTGTCTGCCTTGACTTCAGCAAGGCTTTTGACACTGTCTCCCATAACATCCTCATATGGAAGCTCCGGGACAGTGGACTAGACAAGTGCACGGTGCGGTGGATCGAGGGCTGGTTGGATGGCAGAGCTCAGAGGGTGGTGATAAATGGGGCTGAGTCCAGTTGGAGGTCTGTGGCCAGTGGTGTCCCCCAGGGGTCAGTGCTGGGCCCAGTGCTGTTCAACTTGTTTATCAATGACCTGGACGAGGGCACGGAATGCACCCTGAGCAAGTTTGCAGATGACACCAAGCTAGGTGGAGTGGCCAACACTCCGGAGGGCTGTGCTGCCATCCAGAGGGACCTGGACAGGCTGGAGAGTTGGGCAGAGAGGAACCTCATGAGGTTCAATAAGGACAAGTGCAGGGTCCTGCACCTGGGGAGGAATAACCCCAGGCATCAGTACAGATTAGGGGTCGACCTGCTGGAAAGCAGCTCCACGGAGAGGGACCTGGGAGTCCTGGTTGACACTAAGTTAACCATGAGTGAGCAGTGTGCCCTCGTGGCCAAGAAGGCCAATGGGATCCTGGCCTGCATCAGGAGGAGTGTTGCCAGCAGGTCGAGGGAGGTGATTCTGCCCCTCTACTCAGCTCTGGTGAGGCCGCACCTGGAGTACTGTGTTCAGTTCTGGGCACCCCAGTATAGGAGGGACGTGGAGCTTCTGGAGAGGGTCCAGAGAACGGCAACCAGGATGATTAAGGGAATGGAACATCTCTCGTATGAAGAGAGGCTGAGTGAGCTGGGCCTGTTTTCTCTGGAGAAGAGGCGGCTCAGAGGGGATATGATTAATATGTATAAGTTCAGGAAGGGAGAATGCAGGGAGGAAGGGGACAGGCTGTTTTCACTGCTGGCCAGCGATAGGACGAGGGGTAATGGCCACAAACTGAAGCATAAGAAGTTCCGTCTCCAGGTGAGGAGCAACTTCTTTACTGTTAGGGTGACAGAGCAGTGGAACAGGCTGCCCAGGGAGGTTGTGGAGTCTCCTACTCTGGAGGTCTTCAAAACCCGCCTGGATGCCACCCTGTGCCACATGCTCTAGGTGTGCCTGCTTGAGCAGGAAGGTTGGACTAGATGATCTGTAGAGGTCCCTTCCAACCTTAAATATTCTGTGAATCTGTGAATCTGTAATGCATGTAATTTCAAAGAGCAGTTCAATGACAGCATATTCCAATATATTTAATAAAGAGATAGCTAACAAAAAAAAATGTGCATGCAATAGCAATATTAAATGATTTCTTCCTAAAATGTTGAGAATGCCATGAGCTAAATGGAATCCTATTTAAGTAATAAAAAGAAACACCTCATTTTCAAAGTTACTTGAAAACAAAACTAAAATATTCACAAAATAAAAAAGAACATATGCACAAAAAATAAATCATGGAGAAAATATATTTTAACAAATACAATTAATTTAAATAGCTTGTGATATCATTGCAGTCAATTATTTCTTTTTTAATTAAGTCTACAGCAGTACTATGTTAGAGTGATCTGGTGTAAAATTTCTCAATGACTGTGGAACAGCCAGCCTATAGATGTACACACAGCCTTACTGTGACTATAAAGCCCAAAATAAGGAGAACTTGCTATATATGACCAGACAACA